GTGGTGGTGCATGCCTATAGTCCTAGCTACTTGGGAGGGTGAGGCAGGAGAATTGCTTGAATCTGGGAGGCAGAGGTTGCAGTGAGCCAAGATTGTGCCACTGCACATCAGGCTGGGTGACAGAGTGAGACTCCATCTCAAAAAAAAAAAGAGAGAGCTTACTGCAAGAGGTCTGGCTGGCCAAGACACTCCATCTGCTACACACTTGGGCCCACCACAGGCTTCATGCTGAGGCATGCTCTTCCCAGGCTGCACCAGCCAATTACTCTGCATGCCAGGGATTCCAGATTCAGACCATTCCTGCCTTATAAACAGCTCCACTGTGGACAGTCTGCTCTGGGCTCTCTGAAGAGCTCTCAAACAGTTGTCAGACCTGTGTTGTGGTCAGGATGCTCTCCATGAATATTCATTTTGTTTATTTTATTTAGCTTTTATTATTACTTTAGATAGGATTGGGAGTGCAGTGGCTCAATCATGGCTCACTGCAGCCTCCACCTCCTGGGCTCAAGCAATCCTCCCACCTCAGCCTCCCAAGTAGCTAGGACTACAGATACATGCTACTATAACCAGCTAATAATTTTCTTTTTTTGTAGAGACAGTGTCTTGCCATATTGCCCAGGCTGGTCTTGAACTCCTGGCCTCAAGTGATCCTCCTGCCTTGGCTTCTCGGAGTGCTGGGATTATAGCCACTATGTCCATTCATGCCTTTTTAAATAATTTTTATTTTTTTAAATTATTATTTTTTGAGACATAGTCTTGCTCATTCTGTCATCCAGGCTGGAGTGCAGTGGTGTGATCTCAGGTCACTGCAACCTCCCCCTCCTGAGTTCAAGCGATTCTCCTGCCTCAGCCTCCCAAGTGGCTGGGATTACAGGCACCCACCACCAGGCTAATTTTTGCATTTTTTGTAGAGATGGAGTTTTGCCACATTGTCCAGGCTGGTCTCAAAGTCTGGACCTCAGATGATCTGCCTGCCTTGGCCTCCCAAAGTGCTGGGATTACAGGCATGAGCCACCTCACCTGGCCCATCCATGCTTATTCTTGCTCCGGCTTTCCTTTATTCTTCACAGGCTTTTTTTTCCCTGTCAATCTCTTGCACATCAAATTCCACCTTGGCATCTGCTTCTTGTGTTATGGAACCGAACTGGGATCAGCTCACCTTGTTCCTCCTTTGTTCATTGTTCTCTCGTGGCACAATGGCTACCTGGAGTACCCTTCCTGCAGTCCAGGAAGTTAAAAATTGTGTTGCTGAAAGACCCTTTGTCTCAGTGCTAAGTTTCCTTTGTGGTACCAAGTATCTATTTCCAACATCTATTTCCAACACTACCCGAGGTCAGGAGTTCGAGACCAGCCTGGGCAATACAGCAAGACCCACATCTGTATGAAATTTAAGAAAATTAGTCAAGCATGATGGTGCAGACCTGCAGCTGGGATTACAGGCACGCACCACCACACACTTTCTCTATTTTCCGACATAACGTCAACCCTTTTTTTAACATTTTGCTGGCCAGAGCGGGATTTGCCTTGGGCCGCTGCTTGTGCTGCTGGCTATAATTACCTTCTTGCTTGTCACGTTGCTCAATGACTTCAGGGCTAAGTGCCTGGAATTTTTCTTGAAGAAATTCAAGATTTTTTTTTAATGTTCATGCTTGCATGGGCCTGCAGGCTACTGCACCTTCTCACTTGGAGCACCTGAATTGACAGAGGCAGTATTTACACGTGCAATCAATACTATCTCACTCATCAATTCCACTCCTGATGTATTCTCAATAGAAATGACAGCTTATGCTGGCTGGGCAGGGTGGCTCACGCCTGTAATCCCAGCACTTTGGGAGGCTAAGGTGGGTGGATTCAAGCCCAGCCTGACCAACATGATGAAACCCCATCCCTACCAAATACAAAAAAAAAATTAGCCAAGCATGGTGGCACATGCTTGTAATCCCAGCTACTTGGGAGACTGAGGCAGGAGAATTGCTTGAACCCAGGAGGCAGAGGTTGCAGTGAGTCAAGATTACGCCATTGCACTCCAGCCTGGGCAACAAGAGCAAAACTCTCTCTCCAATTGGAAAAAAAAAAAAGAAATGAGGGCTTATGTCCACCAAAATTGAGTTAGGGAATGTTTATAGCAACTTAATTCGTGATAGCTAAAAATGAGCCAGATGTCCAACAGCAGAATGGATAAGTAAAATTGTGGATATCTAATATGATGGATTATTATACAGTAATGAAAAATAATAGTCAGTATCTGCAATAACATGGGTAAACCTCCCAGACATAAAAGAAGCCGGATGATCAAGAGATCTTATTAATTGAGTAAAAGCTACAGGATCACTTAGATTTATGAATATCATTAGGGATGCAGAGTGAGAATTTTTTTTTTTTTTTTTTTTTTTTTGAGACGGAGTTTCGCTCTTGTTACCCAGGCTGGAGTGCAATGTCGCTGTCTGGGCTCACCGCAACCTCCACCTCCTGGGTTCAGGCAATTCTCCTGCCTCAGCCTCCTGAGTAGCTGGGATTACAGGCACGTGCCAGCATGCCCAGCTGATTTTTTTTTTTTTTTTTTTGTATTTTAGTAGAGACGGAGTTTCACCATGTTGACCAGGATGGTCTCAATCTCTTGACCTCGTGATCCACCCGCCTCGGCCTCCCAAAGTGCTGGGATTACAGGCTTGAGCCACCGCGACCGGCTTTTTTTTTTTTTTTTTTTGAAACAGGGTCTCACTCTGTCATCCAGATGGGAGTGCAGTGGGGCAGTGTCGACTCATTGCAGCCTCAACCCACACCCCACCCAAGGCCCCTGGGCTTAATCAGTCCTCCCCGCTCAGGCTCCCAAGTAGCTGGAACAACAGGCATGTACCATCACACCCGGCTAATTTTGTACATTTTTTGCATAGACCAGAGCTCCCTATGTTGCTCAGGCTGGTCTCGAACTGCTGGCCTCAAGCAATCCTCCTGCCTCTCAAAATGTTGTGAGAGAGCAGAGTGAGGATGTTTTTGAGGACTGTGGTAGACATCCTCCTCATATTCATGTCCTGTATAATTCTCTCCCTTTGAGCATGGGCTGGACCTAGGGAATACTGGGACTCTTTCCTTTCCTTTCTTTCTTTTTTTTTTTTTTTTTTTTTTTGCAATGGAGTTTCGCCTTCTAGGCCAGGCTGAAATGCAATGGTGCAATTTCAGCTCACTTCAACCTCCACCTCCCGAGTTTAAGCGATTCTCCTGCCTCAGCTTCCCAAGTAGCTGGGATTACAGGCATGTTCCACTACGTCCAGCTAATTTTTGTATTTTTAGTTGAGACAGTGTTTCACCATATTGGTCAGGCTGGTCTTGAACTCCTGACCTCAGGTGATCCACCTACCTTGGCCTTCTAAAATTCTGGGATTACAGGCGTGAGCCAACGTGCCTTGCTGGACCTAGGTGCTATTTTCTAAGTAGCAATAAAATACATGAAAGTGATGGGATGTCACTTCTGGGATCAGGTTACAAAGAAGACTGTGATCGTTCTCTCATTTTCTTTTTCTCTCTCTTCCTCTTTCTCCTCCCTAGCCCTGGGGCAAGCCAGCTGCTTCTTATGAAGAGGCACAAGTAGACAGGAACTGAGGTCTCCAGCCAACAGAGAGGACCTGAGGCCTGCCAGCAGCTATAGAAGTGAGTTTGAAAGAGGATTGTGAAGCCTTGAGAGAGCTGCAGCCCTGGCTGACAGCTTGATTGTATCTTCATAAGCGCCTGAACCAGAGGACACAGCTAACCTCACCCAGATTCCTAGCCCACTGAAACTGTGAGAAAAAAAAGTTTGTTTAATAAGCGGCTAAATTTGGGGCGATTTTTATCCAACAATAGGTAACGAATACAAGGATATTGCTTATTACTCAAAATCACTATATAAAGCCCCAGAAAAATTGAAAACTGCAACTAGGGAAACACTGAGAGTCTCCAAGAACACTGTGTTTCTTCTTAGAGACAGTGAGAAAAGCACATATATGTGTTTTCCTTTTAGTTATGGCCATCAGGAAGCTCAGAGCCAAATGTGTGACCCAATTTTAATAACTGTGTAAGCCTCTATGACCTGCTTATCTGTGTTCTTATTCCTGGCCTTTCATTTTATTCTGACTTTCTCTCTTTCTCTTTTTTGAAACAAGACGGAGTCTTGCACTCCAGGCTGGAGTGCGGCTCACCTCAAACTCTGCCTCCCAGGTTCAAGAGATTTTCCTGCCTCAGTCTCTCAAGTAGCAGCTGGGATCACAGTCATGCACCACCAAGCCTGACTAATTTTGTGTTTTTAGCAGAGACAGTGTTTCTCCATGTTGGTCTGACTGGTCTTGAATTCCTGACCTCATGTGATCTACCTGCCTCGGCCTCCCAAAGTGCTGGGATTACAGGTGTGAGCCACTGCGCTTGGGCCTGACTTTTCCTTTTCTTCCTACTGATTTTATTAGCTCATCTATATTTTTCTATGTGATATGAATTATGGTAAGCCACCTCAAATTCAGCTTACAGAGAAGCAAGGCATTTGTAAATTTTTTTTTTTTTTGAGACCCTCACTCTATGTTCCAGGATGGAGTTCAGTGGCGAGATCTCGGCTCTCTGCAATCTCCGCCTCCCGAGTTCAAGTGATTCTCGTGCCTCAGCCTCCCAAGTAGCTGGGATTCCAGGCGCGCACCACCATGCCTGGCTAATTTTTTATTTTTATTTTTAGTAGAAACGAGGGTTTCACCATGTAGGCCAGGCTAGTCTCCAACTCCTGACATCAAGTGATCCACCTGCCTCGGCCTCCCAAAGTGTTGGGATTGCAGGCGTAAGCCACCGCGCCCAGCGCACACATCATTTTTTAAAAACAGTTTTTAAATTTAAAACATAGTTTTGCACATCAAAAAACGTTTTGCACAGGTTGAACACAAAGTTCCCGGAGGTAGTGGTGAGGAGATCGGGTCATAGGAGGGTGGCTCAGGAGCCCCAAGCATTGGCCAGGGTGATTTGGATTGGGTAAGAAATATCAAGTGATGGCGATGGAAAAGGGAAAAAGGAGAGCAACTGATTGCCATCCCCAGAGGCAGGGGCCGGCCGAGGGCTCACCCAGTCACCCACAGTGGGATCCTTGCAACGTGTTCCCGGCAACTGCTCCCCTAATCCCTCCCGCCCAGTCCCCTCCTCACCCGGAACCTGCCCCCACCGGGGCCCCACCCCTCCCTGGCCCGCCCCCTCCCGGGCCCCGCCCTTCACGCACGCCGCGACGCACCGCCTCAGTCTCCGCCAGCCAATCCGGCCTTTCCGGCGGTTGCGCGCTCCGCCCCCTCCTTCTGCGCCCGCGCGCGCCTTCTCCGCTCCGCCCGCCTCACTCCTTTCTGGGCAGTTGGGCGGCTAGCCTGTGGGGGCGGGACCCGGAGCAAGCCACCCAGCCTATGGGGCGCGGTGGCGGCCGAGGTGGAGGCGGAAGGAGGCGGAAGGAGGCGGTGGCTGCAGTGGCTGCAGACGGGGGCGGATGGCGGCGTCTGTCCTGCTGAGAGTGTCGGTGCCGCCGCGGGAGAGGGTCGCCTGGTACGCCGTGTGCGCCTCCGGGATTCTGCTCTACTTCTACACCGACCACGTGGAGCGGCAGAAGGAGTGGGACCCCGAGCACCGGACCCTCTGCAACCTGGGGCCCTGGGCGAAGTGCTCCGCCGCCCTTGCTTCCAGGTAGCCAGCGTTGGGGAGTGGGCCGTGAGCGGCCGCGCGGGGCGAGGGCGGAGGCTGGGGATTGGGAGCGGGAGGCAGGAGCTCGGGCCTGGGGGCGGCGGGGACCCGGCCGCGGGGAAACGGACCGGGTCGGCGCCGGGGCTGGGCGCTCCTGCCCCGGGGCCGCCCGAGCCCAGGCCACGCCGCGAAGGTGGCGGGGCCTCGAGTCCGCCAGGGAGAGATGAGGTGACAGTGCAGCCGGAAGGCCGGGGGGGTCGGGGTGCTGTTGGGCGGGCGGGGCCCGCGCTGGGCTGGAGCGCGAGGGTCTCCGGAGGGTGGGTCCCAGCCGGCCTGACCGGTGTCCTGGTTGTTGGGAAGGCGGGCCGGGGGTATGGGACCCTGTCCGCCGCACCCGTGGGGCCAGCGGCCACGTCTTGTCCCCCCATCGCTGCAGCCGAGGCTTTAGGGGCCGGCGCGGACTCCGGGGGCTTGCGTTTCCCATTGTCTTCCTGGTGCTAGGACAGGTGTTTCCGTGGTCAGGCCTCTTTGTACTCCAGCGCTAGTGAGAATTTGTGGACTTACTGAGACGTTGACATTTGCGGGCAAACACAAATTTGACCCTACTCTGGAAGAAGATACCGGCACTTAACATATCTGATTTCTCCTCGTATATTTGAGTGTGCCAGGAGGGGGAAATGGTCTGAGTTTGGGTCTGAGTTTACGATTCATTGGTGTAAAGGACAAGTATGTTATGTGTATGGTAGTGTTTTAGGCATTGGGGTGACTTTTAAACGTTGTTGCTTATTAGTATATTAGGATACCCACAACAGATTAAAAACACATGCTTTGCTAAACTTGAGTGATTGGTTTGTGTTACTGATCATTTTATTTTTAATGTAATTGGTTTGTCTGTTATGTTTTATTTTAACGCGTTAAATTTTCCTAAGCAAGTCACTTTGAAAAAGGGAGGAATTTACGTTTTAAAGGTGGCTGGTGTTTTTGTTTGTTTTTTTGGTGGGATTAAAAACATAACAGAAGTCGAAGGAATGATTTCAGAATTGATAGGTTACGATTTTAATAGTGACTATGTCTAATATTTAGATGTTTGGTAACGGTAGTCACATTTGAGCAATTTCTTCCTCTCCTGTTGATTGGTAAATTGGTATGTAGACAGAAATGTATAACTCACTAGTTTATTTCGACTCACATATTGTTGATTACATGAACAAGGTTGCATTAGAGTTTGTCTTGTTATTGGTTACAAACTTCAGGGTGCAGCTCTTTCCACTAAGCCTTATCATGGACCAGATACTCTGTCTCATTTGCTCATAAACCAAAATCCTGTAGCTTTTTACAGGGGAAATAGTTATCACGTGGCCAAATGAAGCAATTTGAAAGTGCATTTAAAATGTAGGTATTAATTTACTGGGGAAATACATAGATGTGACAAAAGGCTCACATTTGTTGTTGGTGGTTATTCTGAACCAAGTTAATAGGCTGATTAGACTCTCAGATACCCTTTGAGAAACACTGAGTGTCTTTGATGCAAAATTTTTGTGTTATATCCGCTTTGGGAAAGGACTTTTAAACTCATAAGTACCTTCCACCTGAAGTTAGTTGAATGAATAAAATATATAAGGAAAACATGATGCAGCAGCACATTTCAAGTATTTAAGAAACAACTAAAAATAACTTTTGATCCTAGGTTAATATGGAATTTAAGCAGAATTATGATCAATTTTAGATTTTTTTTGAGACAAGTAGTCTAAAATAAATGGATCTTTTAACATTGGGGCATGGGAGGAGTACTTTACTGTAGACTTAAGTTCATAAAATTGGCTTTCTTTTAAAAAGAGAGCTTTGAACCATATAATAAGTATACACTCTAAATATTCTTATAGTTATATATCCTGCAAGAGCTGCGTGTTTGTGCATCGTAAAATATCAAGAAGTATATTAAAAGTATATATAAGTACATGAAAGACTAAAGGTAACTGGATCTCTTTATAGTTTTTAATGTGAATTTAATATGTTGTGACAAAGTGTTTCAGTGTGTAGCTGAGAACATAAAACAGTTTAACTTAGATGCTTGTTAAAGGATAGGTAAAAATAAGATGTAAATAATTCACTTGCTATCTATACAGTGAAATTATGTTAAGAAATTTGTTCAGTGCAATCAGCCTGTTTATAAACTACTTGCAAAAATCAAGTAGTTTATAAACTACTCATTTAATATGAATTCACAGGTCAACTTATTTTGGAAATAGTTTATAAACAGGCTGATCAAAGTCACATGTATATATACATATATATACACATATAGACTAATTTTCTTTTGGAAGTAGGTAGACAAAACATTGAAAGTTTTTATTTTGTCTAGTGGAAAGAGACTTTAAATGAAAGCTGATTATTGGACACCTCAAGTTAGTTTCTTTTGAGTAGTGATTACCATGTAGCAGTACTACTCAAAGATGCGTCTCTTAGGGAAAGAAAGTTTCAGCCCAGGCTGGGTGCGGTGGCTCATGCCTGTAATACCAGCACTTTGGGAGGCCGAGGTGGGCAGATCACCTGAGGTCGGGAGTTTGAGACCAGCCTGACCAACATGGAGAAACCCAGTCTCTACTAGGAATACAAAATTAGGTGGGTGGGCATGGTGGTGCATGCCTGTAATCCCAGCTACTCGGGAGGCTGAGGCAGGAGAATTCCTTGAACCCGGGAGACAGAGGTTGCAGTGAGCTGAGATCATGCCGTTGCACTCCAGTCTGGATAACAGCGAAATTTTGTCTCAAATAAATAAGAAAGTGTGAAGCCACCTGGCTCATGCCTGTGATCCCAGCACTTTGGGGGGCTGAGGCGGGTGGATCATCTGAGGTCAGGAGTTTGAGACCAGCCTGACCAAATGGAGAAACCCTGTCTCTACCAAAAATACAAAATTAGCTGGGCTTGGTGGTGCATACCTATAATCTCAGCTACTCGGGAAGCTGAGGCAGGAGAATCACTTGAACCTGGGAGTCGGAGGTTGCGGTGAACTGAATTCGCACCACTGCACTCCAACCTGGTCAACAAGAATGAAACTCGTGTCTCAGAAAAAAAAAAAGGAAATAAGTTTGAGCCCCGAGAAAATTTAACAGATGAAAAAGATTCTGAAGAAAGTCCTCTTCCAGGATCCAGTGTCAGCACATGGTTTTGGATTGCTTATACTCAACTCGATTCTCATTTCACAATCCCCAAATGTCCTAATCCAAACAGAATAAGGTAGAGGTTAAAGAGAGAATTTTGAAGGGCACATGTTATCTGTGTGTAAAGTCTCCGATTATTTTGGGGCCATAATGATGTAAGGGGCCAGACTTTTAGATTTCTAAGGAAATATTTTCCCAAAATAAGGAGGCTACAATAGAAATGATGATTTTTTTTTTTTTTTTTTTTTTTTTTTTTTTTTTTTGAGACGGAGTCTCACTCTGTTGCCAGGCTGGAGTGCAGTGGCGTGCTCTCAGTTCACTGCAGGCTCTGCCTCCTGGGTTCAAGTGATTCTCCCGTGTCAGCTTCCTGACTAGCTGGCATTACAGGTACGTGCCACCATGCCCAGCTAATTTTTGTATTTTTAGTAGAGACAGGGTTTCACCATGTTGGCCAGGATGGTCTTGATCTCTTCTCGACCTCGTGAGCCACCGTGCCTGGCCTGATTTTTTATTTCTACCAGGTACAGCCAATAAAAACAAAATCACACCACTGTCTCCTGGAACCATCATTTCATTTAACAAAAGGATATTTTCACTCAAACAATGGGAAAGAACAGAATCTCTCACAATAAATTTTATTTTTTATTTTTTTGAGATGGAGTCTTGCTCTGTCACCAGGCTGGAGTGGGACGATCAATCTTGGCTCACTGTAACCTCCGCCTCCTTGGTTCGAGTGATTCTCCTGTCTCAGCGTCCTGAGTAACTGGGACTACAGGCGTGCACCACCACACCCAGCTAATTTTTGTATTTGTAGTAGAGATGGGGTTTCACCATGTTGGCCAGGATGGTCTCAATCTCTTGACTTTGTGATCTGCCTGCCTCGGCCTCCCAAAGTGCTAGGATTACAGGCATGAGCCACTGCACCCAGCCAGAATAAAAGATTTTTAAATGGAATCATTTAGTTATATTGAAAAGTTTACTTTCAGACTAGCCTGGCTAACATGGTGAAACCCTGTCACTACTAAAAATATAAAATTAGCTGGGTGTGGTGTCATGTATCTGTAATCTCAGCTACTCCGAAGGCAGAGGCAGGAGAATCACTTGAACCGAGGAGGCAAAGGTTGCAGTAAGCGGAGATGGTGCCATTGTACTCCAGCTGGGCTATAAGTTTGAAACTCCGTCTCAAAAAAAAAAAATTTACTTTTGTGTCCTTACTTTTCCTCATTTTCCCATAAATTGATGAAAATTCTGCTGCAAACTTACACCAGCCTGCTACCTAACATTAAGTTAGTGCTCCCTGCCCCCTTGGTTTGATATACTAATCTCGAAGCTAAGCTCTCCCAGTTCTTAGACTTGTGGCCTTATCTTCATGGTGCCTCAATTTCTTATGTTAAATAGGAATTTTTAAACCTACTTATGGCCTAGCTGAGACCTGTGATCCCAGCACTTTGGGAGGCTGACACCTGGCAGATCTCGAGCTCAGGAGTTTCAGACCAGCCTGGACAACAGGGCAAAACCCTGTCTCTACAAAAAATAAAAAAATTAACTGGGCATGGTGGCACATGCCTTTAGTTCCAGCTTCTTGGGAGGCTGAGGTGTGAGGATCACTTGAGCCCAGGAGGCTGAGATCACTGTGTAGTGAGCCATATTGGTGCCACTGCACTCCAGCCTGGGTGGTAGAGAGAGATCCTGTCTCAAACAGACAAACAAACCAACCAACCTACTTTGCCACATGAATGTTAGGTTGAAAAGTGATTACATATATGTTCCTGAAATAAAGTCTGTTCTCAGTTAGAGCTGTTACCATTGATTGGAGATGTTACTTTTTTTTTTTTTTCAGTG